CAAACCTATTTTAAAGCCCTTCTTACTAGGTTAGTGAGACTGTTTGCGAAGATGCTCTTTCCTCTCTTCATCATCAGGTGGATCCTGTCTCTTTCTAGCAATCCTTCTTGGAACAACATCCCATGGTCAAAGAAGCTGAATCCCTGCTGATGACAGCACCTATGCAGCCATGCATTGATGTGCAGGATGTATTGATCCACCCAGGCCCTTCCCCTTGACTGGAAGGATCAAGGAGAATACCACCTGTTCCCCCATCCCCTATACTCTTGCATCCAGAATCCTGTAGTCACTCTTGATGTGTTCAGGGTCACCTCTGGCAATATCATTGGTGCTCACATGAATACGCAGCATATGGTAGTAGTCAGAGGGTTGGACAAGTCCTGGTAATCCTTCCGTGACATCTCAGATCCAGGCTCCAGGCAACAGGCCAGACCTCCTGGGACAACAGGTCAGACCAGGTCAGACCTCCTGGGACAACAGGTCAGACCAAGAGATGGATCCCTTCACCCCCTGGCCCCTCACAGAGGGGAGTCTCCAACCAGAACTATGCATTGCTTTCTCTTCATCGCTGTGGTTTTGATCTTCCCCACCTTGGGAATTCTTGGCCTGGCCTCTTCTACCAATGGTATGTACTCCTCCTCCTCTGCTGCTAGTGCTCCATATCTGTTCTCCAGGCACACTGTTGCAGGTGGGGATGTGAGCCTTGCTACCTCCCGTAGCTCTCTTGCCTTTTCCCTGAAGGACACCACCAAAAGGCATCACTCACATCACAGGCACTCCCCAACCTGGCAGACACTAGAAGGAATCTGCAAGACACTGTCTGCACAACACCAAACCAGGACCTGCATAGAAGTGTCGATGGTATGTGGTCCAGCCTGGACATATACCTCACAGGCGCAAAGAGAGGAAGAGCTGGAAGTGGCAATGGCTCTGAGATTGCAACATCTTCCACCCATTGGCCTGAGTCTTCTAATTCACAGAAGCTTAGGACTGCAAGAGACCTCATGAGATCATCGGGTCCAGGCCCCCTGCTCTGGTCTATTAAACACAATTTAATGTGCAATGCGTATGGTTTGTGGTGCCACAAGCCTGGATCTAGCCTAACAGTTTGTCTCAGACATAGTGAGTTATAGGCTTAAGATACCTAGTTGAGATAGTTCCATCTACAAAAATTGAATCAGCACCAAAAATCAAATTGGGAAGACTATTTGAAATATTATACATTTTAAAATAATAATAAAAAAACAACCAAAAAACTGCATTCAAGCCAACTATAGAGCTGATCAAAATCTCATTTCTAATTCTTCTGCCTCTCACCTCCTGCCTTTTTTCCAAGCAGACCTTCTGTAGCAAACTCCTCTGTACATGGCCTGTTTGCTGTTCCTTGACCCTGAAAGGTTCCCTTTTCCCTGCAAACTTCTTTCCTCTCAGCAAGCTTACAGCGATGGGGTGTGTGAGACAGTTTCCAAGCAAACTCCCTAGTAAACTCCCCCTCACTCTGGACTTGAGTTAAACAAGGGGATTAAGTATTGGTCTAGCTGGCTGCTGAGTTTTAGCGGCTTAAAATAAAACAATGTAGGTTAGTCAGTTTTAATTGTATATAAAAAAAGAGAGATTTTAAAATAAAACTTACCTTTCAGGCTCCCTTTCAAAGAGGGAGTGGCAAACTGACCTGTGACCTGAAAACTGAGCTGTTTGCTCTCCCTGAGCCTGGACTGGCTAGGCCCCTTTGTTAGGGCATTTTGTCATGGCCTTTTGTCACACTCAGGCAGCAGTCAATCACCAATCAGCCCTCTCAGTTGCTCAGAGCACACACCCAAGCACACAACCCACCAAAAAAAACCCTCAGCATGCCAAACACACAGGCAACCCTGGCTCACTGACCTTCCCAGAGCAGGATCTGGTTCCTGGTTCCTCTTTCCCGTCCTCCTCTTGCTCCCAGCAAACTGCTTGCAAACTGTTTGATTCAACTAACATCTAATGCTTATGGGTGCTGACAAACATGCAACTCCCTGCTCTAACTCATGGCACTTTGCAGGAAGCACCATGAGTTACAGCATTTCCCCGGACTCAACAGACATTCACTGTTGGGTCAAGGGAGTTGGGGGTTGAGCTCCAGTTTGGAGTGGCTACATACCTGCAACTGCTCTTCCCTAGCTTCCCCCACTCCCTCTGCTCCCATACCAGTGCTGTCTTCAAAATGTGAGGTAGGGAAGGGAGGGAGCTCAGTCTGGGGTTTGCCTAGCCTGTGCCAGAGGGTGGGGTGGGTAGATTGGAGCCAGCCCCTCCCCAAGGTAGGGGGCAAACCCCAGACAGAACTTCCTCCCCTCCCTTCTTCCCTTCCCACTCTGAAGACAGCACCAAGGCTGGGGCTGGGCTGCATCAACCCAGCCCTGCTCCTGGCAAGTACTGACAGAAGTTAATGAAGATGCTCCACTTCAGAGTACCTTCACCTTCACCTACATGTAATGCGGGTTCAAATTGTCGCACAATTGGGCACATTTAAAGCACTCTGCAGCCATGCAATTCTGTAAGGTCATGACTGTAGAGCTCTTTCAAGGGGCTAATTGCATGACAGACGTAACTGCCATCTGCGCCCTATGTGCTCTCTTATGGTCCCTCCTCTATAACAGAAAAGGACACCGGACATGTATCACATTTTGCTATCACTGGCTCATTATGTTTTGCAATTCAGGTGCTGGTAACCACTTAGTCCTCTTCTGCTTTTTCTTTGGAGTGTTCTAGATATTATTTTTCCTTTTGATCTCAACTGTTATTTTCGGTGCTTTCCTCTTACTGGACTGTAGTGGCTCCAGGAAAACAGCGGAGGGACATAGTCACCTGGGACAGAGGCTCTTGGCACATGTTACACTTAAGACTTAATTAACCAGTTAATTACATGTTAAGTGGTTACCCGCCACACATTAATGGTGTGATAAAACAAGGAATAAGCCACAAAGTTATTACATAATTGGCCAAGCTCGGGCTCCCAGCCATGGAGGTGCAGCTAGGAGCCCTGTCAGCTGATCTAGGCTCCCAGATGAGCTGGGTGCACCATGCACTTCTGTGGCTGGGACACCTGTCACCTGATGCACATATGGCATGGCAGGAAGCACAATTGTGAGTATTATGCGTCTGATCCCATTGCACCTTTAATTGTACATCTGCCAGGGGACCTAGTCAGATGACCTGGAGCAGCAGCATGGATAGATTTAAAGAAGGGAGTAGGTAGTCTGGGATTAGGGCTGATGGAAGGGCTCAGAGGTTTTGGGAAGTTCCTGAGAAACTAGGAAGCAGCAGCACCAGACCCAGGGTAAGGAAAGGGGAGAATCTGGCTGAAGACCAGACTTTTTTCTGAAAAAAATCCTCCAAAACAAATGAAAAAATGAATATAGGAACAAATGGGAAACCATACTGATTCTGAGTGAGACACGTGTCTCAAGACCAAAAAATTGGAACTAAGAAGGCAATAACTGAGCCATACACCACCCTATAATGCTATCACCCAATGGTAGCAATCAAAGTGGCACAAGTGCCTGAGCTCCAATAAAGCCCCTCTCTGGCCAACAAGATGAGTCTTTTTCTCACAGCCATGATGACAACAGACTGTGGAACCCATAACTTGTCTCTAAAACAAGGATGTGGCATATGTGCTTCAGTATGGTCTTCAGATCAGAAGACTATATTTCTGGAACTGCCACCAGAAATCATCAGTGGGTGCTAAGGGACCTCTGCCTCAACTCCTTCAGCCACTGCAGATTATAGAGCTACCAGAGATCATAGGGACCCAGTGCTCTTGATTTCTACCTGTTCGTTTCCTCCCCACTGGCATGAATGCCCTCTCTGCTTGTTCCTTCTACTACTCTCCAAATAGTCCTCTTGCACTGCCCAGCTCCAAGGAAACCCAACCATTCAGTGTCCTACACATTACCTATATGCATATTCTAGCACAGGGTTGGCAAAGTACAGCCCAGGAACAATGAAGTTTTGGCAGCATTCAGCAGCAGGGTGTGCGGGCCGGGAGCGACCCAAGCCCTTTTCCATGCTGCACGCAGGCTGTGGCCAGCAGCCCGGGCACGCTGGATCGGAGAGGGAGGGTGACGAGCTGGAATTAGGCACAAACACTTAGCGGTAGTTTTAAAGATTGTTTACTTACACCGAGATGGCAGTGGTGTAGGCTGGAAAGCTTGCTTGAGTTGCGGTTACAGACACAGACAACACGGACGATCACGTGGAGTTTGCTAGGCTCCACGGAACAGAGCTCCGGATGCTCTGGGTGAACGCGCCACCAAAATCGAAATCGGAGATACGTCTTATAAAATTTGCGATCGAAGACGGGAAGAGGTGGGCGATGGATCAGGTCGCCAAGCTCCTCTGAATCTCACACAGGGTCTCTATTACCCTGCTGTGTATCCAGAGTCCCCACGAGATGGATGTGGAGTCCTCTTCGGCTTGGGCGCAAACTGCTCAAGCCTATTATACGGCTAACAGGCCAATCGTCAGCCGCCAGGTGGAAATAATTTAAAACTAGCCAATAGCGGGGAACAAATTTGCATACCGGTGGCGGGAACTCTTTTGCACCGTGCATTCCTCTTGCAACTCGAGCAATGCACTCTGCAAAAGAAGCTGCAGAAAGGCAGGAAACTCGTCCCTGCACCGGGGCTTTCCTCTGCAACAGGAAACTCTCCCGTGCAATGAAGCTGCAACTTGGCGGGGATAATTCTGGTGCCGAAGCACACACAAAATCATGCCTTTGGGTCATGACACAGGGGAGCTTTGGTGGTGGTCGCTCTTTCCATGCTACCACATAGAGAAGCAGTGACTATCTGGAGCTCTTCCTGTGCAGCCACAGAGAGAAGCAGCAGCAGCTGGGTCCTAGTCCCTGCCCACCTCACTCTGACCCAACCTTTGTCCCACAACTTGTTCTAGGACATAACAAATATAACATCACATATTTTCTTTATGCACAGCCTGTTCAATAAGATTTTCAATTACCCTTTGAACATTTTGTTTTATTATTGACACTTTGAGATTCATTGTTACTAATCCAGACTTTTAATAGGCAAACTAAAAAAAATAAACCATACATCTAATAAAGTATACAGCATTAGTTTAAAACCCATAGTCAATATAATAACTGATACAAAGTATACTACATGGATACTTTACAAAAACAGAAAAACGTTATTTAAATCCATATTTCAAGAAGGTTTAACATTAAATTACAAATGTTAATGTCAACTACGCATGGCGCTGCTAGTTTGAGAGTTTTAAAATGGAAACTGTTGATTCAATGTATAAATGTATGTATTATATATTTTTATATTTAAAAGCAATAATGCTCTAAGATTCTTACTGAAAAGTTACAAAAAATATGTCCTTCATGTGAAAAAAGTGTGCACTACTTCAATGCAAAAAATTAAACATTTTTCTTAAAATGTTGCACAAGCTCAGCTAACTTCATACATTATATACAGGTTGCTACAAGCAGAATAGTGCTGCTATAATCTTTATAAATATGTATAATGTACATACAGTACACAGACATACACTAGAGGTGCTGTGGGCATACCCATGAAAGTCCAAATATGATACTTGTATATATGTATCAACTAACCAGGAAGTGCACTAGACTAGTCTTTCAGATTGTAGCAGGCGACAGTTTCTATTGTCAACAAACAGGAACGTTAGTATGGATTCTAGACAAACAGGATTGCTATTAGTCCTGGAAGACAATAACAGAAATGACAACATAGCATGGTCAGTCACTGGCTATTTGAAGCTGCTTACAGGTAGTAGCATCTCCACATCTCTTATGTATATAGTACATATTTTTATACATGCGCAACATAAAAAACCCATCTGTTGCAGGCAGGAAAAGAAACTGTCCTTAACAACTTATAGTCTTAAGGAAGAATTGTTAATGGATATATACAGCATATAAAAAGTCAGTCAGTTTACAAAAATATAAGTGAGTTCAGTATATTTTTATACATCAAAATCTAATTAATCACAAAAATCTAGATATCCTGAGACAGGTATGTATTTTCCATCTAATTTACAAATGCTAGTGTACTGCCAGAGTACAATTAGAAAAGCACTATGTGCATTTCTCAGTAAGTACATAGCTAAAATGTTTAAGGCAATGTGCGAGTTTTAGGAGCTATCCTGCTGTTGTCAGGTTAAACACCAATGGTGCAAATATGCATAGTGTTGGCAGACACAAACCTATGGAATAGCTGCAAAATGTACATCTGCTGAAATATACTTCCACTATAGATGTTAACACTTCAATTTGGAACAAAACCAAAAATACTCTCCTATTTTGAACTCTTGCTTAATCATGATGTAATAGGAACTCACAGACTCAAATAATTGTAGTCTTATATAGTACATCTAACAATGGATTTATGAAACAAACAACACTACCATTTACCTATAATTTTCTTTGAGTAAAAACAGAGCTAAACAGAGTTAATAAAACTGATTGATTGTTTTAAATGCACAAGAAAGCTTTCAATAGGCTATTAAGAAATAAGGTTACGCATTGAAATATGCTTTCTACATAATTCCCAATAAAGTTTAGTTTGATTTCCTTGGCTAAAAACCTGTGCAAGAGAAGCTCAGACATTATTCTTTTAGAAAGTAAGAGTGAAATGCTGTGACATTAAAAAGTTGTTTCCTTCGGTGGATGTAAATGTATGTATCAATTATTTTAACTGAGCAAAAACTCTTTGAGTTGGAGGATTACTAATGCAAAAAATGTTTAACAATTACAGACTAGAACCATCTATCTTACTTTTGTTAAACTCAAGAAGAACAACATACTAAATACTGGGAAATTTCCTATTTCTTCAGACTCTTAACTTCAGAGACTAGATTGGACTAATGCTCATTTCACAAAACTAAGACTGAACCTGAATAGGATCCAGTTATTAAAACAGCCCTCCCACTCCAGATCTACCTTTGAATAAAAATATATTTCCCTTTAGCATGACCATTATATTGTTTGGGTAATAATGTCTTGCATTCAAAAGCTTGTCTAACTCTATTCTAGTTATGCAATTGGCCCAATAAAAGATATAACCCTAAGAAATACTTGCCTCTTGCATAATTGGTTGACTATTATATGGCTACCAACCTTTCCTTTCTGGTTCTTAAATATTCCCTATGCCCTTCCTAGATGGTATGTGCATGTAAAACTTCAAATTACACACACACACACACACACACACAAGCAGATTTTAGACTCTATTTTTAGTTATTTTGTGTGAAGTTACACACACACACACACACACACACCGAGTTTTCTGTAAATTGCTGCAATACACAAATAAGCAGCATAAATGGTTGTAGCAGAAGTAAAGATCTAATGAGCTGAGAGTGTTAGAACTCCTGTTAATCATCGCTTCTTGTCATTCGCAAGCCTAGGAATTTATGAACGGATAAATATACTGTGTACACTGAAAATTGATTTTTTTATTGTGTATGCACTGCAGGAAGGGTAAATATATCCTACATGTTTACGCAACATTATAATTAGCTTTAGTCACAAACATATGTAAATGTGTAATTTGTAAGAAGGCTTCTTCAATGCCTGGCTGAACTAACCGGGAACCAAACATATTAGGATGTGTGATTTTGTTCAGAAAATAGAGGGGCAAGTAAAGAGATACAGAAAAGTCCGTGAAGTTTGCAACTGAAATGGCCATGACTACAATTTTCAAAAGAGCCCAAGCAAGTTACATACCCATTTCCAATAGAAGTTCAATGGAAGCTGTGTGCCTAACCCTCTTCAGGGCCTCTGAAAATCCAAACCCCAAATCCCATTGGAAACTGGGGCCTAAATCCATCAAGCCCTCTGAAAATACAAACCTAAATATCTAAATTCATGCACCGCACAAGTCATTGGTGCTAGAGGCTGGATGCGCTTTGTATAATGAAGTTGAGAGAGTTAAGTAAACTCTTATATATATTTTTCAGAACAAAAGAGAACTGGGGACTCAAACCTTTCCTCTTCTTCACTAAATAGTCATTTAGACATATAATGTAACAACAGATACAAAAGCAGAGGGTCAATACCTTCAGTGCTTACTCAAGAAAAATTCTAATTGAAGAATTTGATCCAATGATTTTGGCTAATAGCTGTCAGTCCTCAGCTATCATTTAACAAACATTTATTACCTGCACTTTCAAATGCCTAAAACCCACTTACATTAAACCTATCATATTACACATGTAATGATTTTAGTATATTGCACTCCTACATCATTATTGTGACTCAGCTGATATACAAAAGTGCTGGACGATAAGTTTATTCACTGATAATGTGTGTGCATACAACAGATTTTCCTCTTGTAGAACTGTATCAGTTTCATTCAGTTGATAGCACTCAGTCTCTTAGTAAAAGATTTTGTAGCCAAATCTCACACCAAGAATTAGGTTCCTCACCAAGAATACTTCACATTCAAAAGCTTGTCTAATTCTATCCCAGCTGCATAGTTGGTTCAATAAAAATATCACCCTAAGAAATCCTTGCTCCTAGTAAAGCCTGACACTGCCAAACTAAATGTGCTACATGATTTGTGGTACAATACCTAGCACAAGAAAGCTTTGACTTCTGCACATTTCTGGTGCCTGAGCAAGCAGAAGCCTAAATTTTCTTGGTAATACTTGCCTAGAGGAAGGATAATCTTAACCAATATTGCCTTTGAATAAAACATGTCTAGGACTATGAGATTTGTGGACTAGAACAACAACTGTATAAAACCAAAATCCATTCTTTTCTTATGTAAAAGTGTTGTCATAATAGACAAAGAAAATGGGTTTTCCTACTTCCTATATAGCTTAAGAAAGTAGAATTTCGTGTTTATCAAAATCCTGAAAAAAAGTTTCCAGCAAGTATCAGAAGGATGTAAACTTCAAGAATGGAGGGAAAATTGTGACTTTACAGAGTGTTCAGTATCATTTTTTGTCACAGTTAAAGGAAGTTAACAGATTTTATGTTTAAGCTTGGTTGGCTACATAACTGGTTTAACTAGATATACGCATACTGCTACTATAATATATGTCTTTACACATACATTTGTGTGTATATAAAAATATTTACTTTGTTGCCAAAGTTAATATCTGCATATAAAATCAAGAATACTGAAGAATGTAGAACTACTAACTCCTCCTTTGGAGAAAAGTAATAAACCAATTATATGTCCTATGGAAAGAACACTCTTTGTAAAATACAGCTTGTACTGAATTCTCATCTATTTCTGAGTTAATACATTTACTGAAATTTCATAAGTGAATAGACAACATAGAACTGAAAAAACTATGTTGTAGAGGTTTGTGTGCAATTATAGAACTATAATTTGTATAATACTTACGTTTTTAGATTATATGCATCCCTCCCTAGTATCTAGTTACTACTACCAGAAGCAAAATTTTAAAATGTAATTTTACTTTAATGTGTATACATATGAAGAGTCTTTCAGGAACATTTATTTTCTCTCGAAACACTTTGGTCAGAAAACAATTAAACATGAATAATATTTTTCCTGATCCATGTAGATATTCAAAACATCCTACAAAATCAAAATCATAAAATTATAAAACTACCAGTCTGCAAAACCAACTTCAATAGCTGTAAAACTTTATGCTGACAAAATATTTTATATGCTGATATAAACATATGAAGTTTTGACACTATGCTTTACTTACATACTCTACAATTCAAAGTTTTCCAGTTCAAAGCTAGAGCACAGCCCTTTACCCAGTCTGGTTAGACATGATACCATGTACAATACTTTACAAGATAAACACAACTGTATGGAGATTTCTGAAATATAGAAGCCCAACAAAGTAAAGCAGCTGCTGCAGGCTGAAGTTTGAACTTCCTTCTAATTATATGTTAATATCACCTTCCTAATATCAATCACACTCTCTCTCCCAAAATATCTTTGAAAGCTATATTTTAATTTTTATGCAATTTAAGGGGTTGCACCATTTCTACAAGATGAAATAACACGCTCTTTCAAATCCGTGATGACCATGGATTCTTAATAAAGTAACTGAGTTTACTGTGTTGGAATTGTACATTGACTGCTAGATCCACGTAGTCATTCCAAACTCATTGGGACTATTTGTAGTTAGGTTCTTAGTCTTTAACATATATGTGTTTCATAGACTAAAAATGTTTATTTCTTATTGCTAAACTTTTGGAGAACATAATAACATTATCTTAGTGGGAAAGACACAAGTTAATCAGTGTGAGAGAGATGAATGCATTTAGATAATTTTAAACTTTTCTTCTTTCCTGGAGTTCACTCTGTGGACTTGGATGACATTTTGATGTGGTTCACATGGGATGGCTTTTCTAATACTGCTGTCTATGTGCAAAAGGCAACTGTGTTGCTGACCTGGCCATGTCACCTGCAAATTCCAGTGTAAAATTTCCAGGAAACCCCCACAACGTTCAAATTTTGCTCATGTGACACTACAGTACATGGAGCCCAAAAATATTTTTCAACAGTCTGTTACCCAATGATGAAAGAGAAATATTTAAGGACAACCTATTTCTTTATCCTGAGTAAATAAATTCTACTTGTCACTTCACCAGGCATGTTCCATTAGAGTGCATCTTGATTTTGTTTTCTAGTCCAATATCTTAAAAGCGGTTTATTATATTTTGCTTCATTCTCCTTACTCTTCTCCAGCAGGAGGTGGAGGCTGGCACAGCTTGTATAATCTATCAAAAAAACAAAAAACAATCACTGTGTTGTCAGAGGATAATGTCACCATTAAAACTAGCCAGATTAAGGCAAAAGGGGCTCAACCAAATAGAATCAATTCTATATTCAGTGGGCGCATCTACACATGCACTTTATTGCAGAGTAGACTAATATGCTCTGCAGTAAAGTGTCACCATTTCAAAGTGTGCCGCAATTAGGGTGCAGTAGACTAATTTACTCCAGTGTAGGATAGTCCTGTCAAACACAAGTACTATCCTATGCCAGAGTAAATAACTGTGATTAAATGAACGTGTAGCTGGTGACACAGGTGCAAACTGCACCCAGTTAGCCGAGTCAGCAGGGGGCCAGGCTCCTGCCTGCTGCTGGCCCTAAACTGCTCCACCTGGGCTCAATTTACTCCTGTCACCAGGCACACATTCAGATGTTATACCCAGATTAGTTTACTCCAGTGCAAATTGCACCAGAGTAAATTCAGTCACATTAATTGCAAATATAGATATGTCCGCTGGGTACATCTACACATACATTAATGTGCATGTCTACATGAGATGCTAACTCTGCAGTAGTTTAATAATACTGCACAGTAGCGTGTCACAGCACAAACAGTACTGATACACTACTGCACAGTATTATTAGACTACTGCACAGTAGCATCACTAAAAAGGCATTCGCTGACGCTGCTGCACAGTAACTCTGGTTACTGTGCATTTATTTAGTACTTGATTATACAAGTACTAAATTAAATTATACAAGTACTAAATTAAATGCACAGTAACCAGAGTTGCTGCACAGTAGCACCAGCAAACAACTTTTTAGTGATGCTACTGTGCAGTAGCCTAATATTATTGTGTAGTAGCATATTAGTACTGTTTTCCTGTGACATACTACTATGCAGTATTAATAAACTACTGTGGAGTTAGTGTCTCATGTAGACATTCCAACTGTGTATCAGAAGGGACTCCACTGCAGTCAGCAGCATAATATTGGTATAAAACTAGTGAGATCTGAATCCAGTTACAGAACTTTTATGGTGTTTGCAAAAATAAACACCTGCTTATTATTCAAACACCTCACTATTAGTAACTCTTCATATTCTAACATTCAATATCACCACAGATAGACCTCCATTAAACCATATGTAATTGCTGATCTGAGTGCCTAAAATGGCAAATCGGGTCTGGACACTGCTACTACTGACTTATTTTGTACTCCAGCTACCACAGCTGTAAGGTCTTTCTCCATCAAACAAATGATTAAGCATTAAAAACCCAGTCATTTTTGTAACAACATCTCCACTTAAGATAGCACTACATCTCTTTCTCCTCTCTCTCAGTCATTTTAGTTCACATGCATAACAGTATGTGATCCCAGCTGGCAGGTCCTCTCTCATTTTATTAACTACTTATTTTTTCATGTTTTGTGTAAGTGCTATAAATTGGTGTCTTTATAATAGTAACTTAAAAGATACCTGACCGACTCCAGTGTGATTTGTAGTACAGCAAGCTGAAGCATAGATCTGATCTGGACGATAGGGCTGTGTGAATGATTCCAGCCTTTTTTTCTGGGCAATATAAAGTTACATTGCCTACAGTAATTATGGCTGTCTGAGATGTTGCCAGTGTGGCTCCTACTGTCAATCCACATGTACCTTATGCGTGTTTGTGCGCTGCCCTAATAAACACTGCTATTCAAACACTTGTGTCACCTTTTGCTCCTGTTAGTGGACATAAAAGGTGAAATGACAGCAGTTTCCCTCAGTTCCCATGCCATTTGAAGCCAAAACTAGATAGCTGTTGAGTCCAAAGAGGAAGAATGAAAGATCATGAATTCATACAGACATTTCTAAGAATAGTTACTGTAACAATTGTTCTCTCTTCAAGAATTCTCCACAAAGCCAACTGTAGATGACCAGCAAGTATTATCCCATCAAGATGTTTTGAAGCATATTAGCCACACCAGTCAAACTAGGACTACAATTACTGCTCATCTGTTAGAAGCAACCTTTTACAAAGGTCAATGGATTACTCTACACCCCTGCCTAGCATATTCAGCAGCTGGCCTGCTTTTGAATCAGATGGAGGATGTACCTTAAACTCAGATGCAAGAAGTCCTTTTTGGTGGCAGAAATACATAAGCCAACAAACAACACTGAGTAGCTGGTTTGATACGCTCTATGGTGAAAGAGGTTAGCCTTTAGAATGAATTGCTAGGACAAATATAGGATTATGGCTGAGTTTTCTTGGTCTCAGAGACCAATGCTGAAAATGAGTTTGGGCTTAGGTTTCAACAAAAACTTATATCTACATAGAATATATAGAATATTCTATTAGATCTATATCTAATAGAATATAGCTATAAGGGCTAGCAGATGCATCTATTAGTGTCTGTCTGAAATTACAGCAACTAAGAAAATAGTCTTCAGTGGGCATGTCTACATGTGCTATTAATGTGCTTTAGGCTTACTGCACCATAAATTACTGTGCAGTAAACCTTCCCTGGAAGCATATCTACAAGTGCAACCTGTTGGTTGCAGATTTGCTCACAATGGCAGCAGTTCAGGGCTGCTCCTGACCTGCTCTGCCCCCCTGCAGCAGCCAGGGGGAGCTCCAGGCTCCCCAGGGTGTTAGCCCAGGGGCTAACAAGGAACACAGGGGCCAGCTGCGATATGCATGGGGCTAGGAGAGCTCTGCCGGCTGCAGCAGCAGCAGCAGCAGCTGTCTCCTGGCCCTGTGCACTTTGGGATGGGACCTGATGTGCATGGGGCCAGAAGACAGCTGCTCCTGCACTGGCCGAGCTCTTCTGGCCCTGTGAAACACAGCTGCTAGCAAGCCCCATCACAGGCAGGGGCTCCCTGCTCAGCAGGGGTTTCACCAGGAGCTGTTCCATGTGTGGCACAGTAGTCATGTAAGAATATTTTGTAGCAGGGTGAATTAGCCCACTCTAACCTAATTAGCTGAGGTGTGGTGCAGCCCAGACACCAGCTACACTACCTTTGCCCTGTTCTTGAATCCACTACTGGGCAAACATAGCTGGCATCAAGGCATTTGATGGAAAGACATAGAAAAAGATAATAGATAACTGGAAAGATGTTGGATACTAAACCCAGACTAGAACAAAGGTTCTGGTACTTGGGACTGATGTTACAGAAAAACAATGAATGGAAGACCTTTGCGGTAACAACCCTTGTCTGATCAATATGTGCGCTTAGGACATTCATCATGATGTTGCTGATTCTTGACAGTGAAAAATCCATCAGGGTTATCTCATTTTGTTTATAACCTGATAGTCTGGGTCAGACCCTATGTTTATCTAGCCTATTACTCTGTCTCCAACAGGGGCAAGTAGTAATGTTTTAGAGAGAGTATATGAGAAAGCAATGTCTGGTGTAGTTCACTCCTCTCCTTTCATACCTTCCCTGGCATCAACCATCATTGGTTTAGGGATCCCTGACTTTCTACTTAGTAGCTCCTAATGGACATTGCCTCCAGGTATGTGTCTAATCCAGTTTTGAACTAACTGCCTCTACAACTTCTGTGGCAAAGAGTTTCACAAATTCACAAAAGGGACTTCTTTGTTTAAAATCAGAATCCTGTTAATTTTAGTGGGCAATCCCTTTTTCTTATATTCTGGGAATTGGTAAATACCAGTTCTCTATGCATTTTATCCACACCCTTCATGATTTTATATCCCCCTCATCCTTCTTCTTCTAACCTTTACAGTCTCTCCTGATATGGCAGCTGCTCCATAAGCACAATTATTTTGCTGCCTTTCTCTGTACCTTTTTCTACATCCATTTTGTGATATGGAGACTAAAATTGCTCACAGTATTCAAGATATAGGCCCATCTTGGATTTATAGTGACATAGCGATGTTTTCAATTCCCTTCTTAGCGATGCCAAGCATTTTACTGGCTTTTCTGGCTACTGCTACGAATTATGATGAGGTTTTAAAACCCAATGTAAAATGACTCAAAGGTCTCTTTCCTGAATAGTAATAGATTGTTCATAGCCCAGCACTGTATATGTATAGTTGCAGTTATTTTTCCATATATACATTATTTTGCATTGTTAGCACTGAAGTTCATCTGACACTTTTTTGTCCACTCAGTTCTGTGAAATCTTCCATGAATTCTTCACCATCAGTTTGGAATTTGACTACCAGAAATAATTTAGTATCACCTGCAAATTTAGCCATTTCACTATTGCACTCCCTTTTCCAGATATTTTTTCTTATTCATCTCTCTCAATTATTACTTTATTTTTACTGGAATTTTAACACTTCAGTAGATCTATCTGCACACACATGTATGTATGTATCAACATCTATGTAGCTATATAGTATACCAATTTGTAATTACTATTTAACAATAAAATATCATATTTTAAATCAACCTAGTAAACAATAACTAGATTAATACAACCAGTTTAAGGCAAATCCAAGATGAAGAAACACACAGTGCTAGACTGTGTTTAGTTATTTTCAAATGGTGAGCCCCTTACTTCTTTGAAAGCATTTGTCAAGTGTCTATAATCCATTATAGCATTGAAGTCTGCATAAATACAGCACAGTCGTATTTTTCATTCTAATGGATGTTTTGGTAAGAGACAGAAATACTGCCTCATTTTTAAGGTAGTGGAAAACATGATTTAGATAAGATATTGCAGTATAATATTTTATAAAAAAACAGCATATAAGATATTGCAGTATAATATTTTATAAAAAAATATTCAGACATAAATATTCCCCATGAAAGATCACAGCCTGGAAGGATTCTCTCCTGCTCCGTTTTTTAAAAGCCAAACCTAATCCTTATGATTTAAAGGAAGAATGACAATTTTCCTTTAACTTTTCTAAGTGATGCATGTGGTTTTTACTTTATAACTGCTTTACTTTTCATTGGATTAAAACAATTAAAAAACAAAGTAATTCTGTGGGCTTTATAAAGCCAAATTTTGCTCTAAAGTACACAGTCAACTCGGTGAGAGCTGCATGCATTCATGAATCTGGCAGAGAGAACTGTCACAAATTAGAAAAGGTCTTAATTACAAGCAATTAAGTCTACCCTTTGGTTACCTTGGGACAGACTGTGGTGTTCTGTCCCTCACTCCTAAATTCTTGGCAGTGTTCTGCACTCTTGCTCCCTGAAAAAGAGAAAAATAATTTTGCTTCATATACAGCTAATGCAAGTTTTGGTGTACCTCCTGAATAAACATGTCACTGCAACCTTTATTAATAAATATGCTTCATTAAGGATGCCCTACCTAACAAAAATTCTGCAGCCAACAAGGAAAAAAAACACATTCTAATAAAAGCAACTACAACTAAGATTCACAAAAAGAAACTTTTCCAGTTCTCCAATTTGTTAAATAATGTATATTGTATTAATGTCAATCCAGACCAAAAGCAAGAGAACTGCTTAACAAAACTTGAGATTGTGAAGCAAGTGAAAAACTACACTGCTTATATAACTCTGATTTAATTTGCATGACATCTCTCTCTTCCTAATAAGAGGCTTGATATCAGGCCCTTTACTCCAGCAAAACTCCATTATAATAAGAATTTGAATGAGCAAGTACTACATGTTCCTTCCTAGATCTAAGAATGCTTCTGGTGAGCAACTGCTTCTTCAACACAGAAAAGGCAGGCAGTGTTAAGGCATTATTTTGAGACTCAGTCTAAGAGGAACTCTGTGCTTTGCACTTGGCTCTGTGTAAACTTGAGCAAATTAATTAATCTCATTGCATCTCCTGTCCTCTATAAGATAGAACAAACAGTACTTCACTACCTCACAGGGATACTGTGAAGCTGAATTAATTAAAAGTATGAGTCAAACACACTGAAGAGCAACACAGAAAAGTGTCTATAGAGACACACAAGCCTCAACATATGGAAGAGCAGCATGGGTAAAAGTTCATGATAAAATTGGGGAGCTAGATTTTCAAACTAAGGTTTGACAAAATATTGTCTGATTGAATTTTCTAGATCTTAGAGGAATTGGAAGCTATTTCCTAAATTGCCTTTGCATTATTGTCTCTCTCATGAATTCAAACTCAAAACAAAATAAAGGAAACATTAACAGATTTTCAGGACTTGAATAGGATAGAATAGAATTGTACTTAGCTGTTTGCAGATATGGAAAAAAAAAAAAACACACACTTTACTGGAAGAAGCAAAGCTCTAGTTCAACCTGACTCTGCAGCATCTGTATAGATCAGGCACTTCCACAGGGCTTTTTGGCACTTTTATCTAAAGTCAATCAGCTATTAGATAAAAGTGCCAAAAAAACCCTACTAAAGCGCCCAATCTATACAGATGCTGCAAATCCAGGTCAAACTAACTCTGCCTCTTCTGGGTATGTGCTGGGCTCGGTGCAGGCCATGCTGAGTAAGTACAAGTTGTTGTTTTTTTTATGTCTGCAAGCAGCCTAAGTGCCTAAATCAATTTAGAAACCCAGTAAGTAGAATGAAATTTGGCCTTATATATATATTTATATGAATTTCAAAAGTAAATTCTTGATTATAGAGATTGACATATAATTAATTTAACCAAATGCAACTGTATACATACTATATATATGAAAATATTAACATTAATCATAGTTAGACCTTGATCTGTAGTGGTATCTAAGAAAGAAATATCCACCTATTTTTACATTAATTGTATCATCCACATTATTCTATTGCAAAATTTGAAAAAATTCAACACATCAGAATTTCTTTGGATCAGAAATGCTGAGTTTTGGACAACCATTGATCAATTGAACAACCACTGATCTGTATCTTAAGCAGGATTTTCCTCTATTTCACCTTTTATAAGCAAGGGTTCTCTCTTTTATTTATTTTTTTTGGTGGTGATATCTTTTATTGGACCAACTGTATCACCAAAAAAATCCTTGGCTATGAAAGGTGAAATGGAGGAGGAAATTCCTGCTTGAGACATACCAGCAGTCTTAGTGCAATGTGTGTGCATTAGGGGTGTGTGAAGCGGGCCTTATTCAATTTGGATTTGGATTCGGCCCAAATCAGGGACGGTGATTCGATTCGTTGATTCGGATCACTGTCCCTGATTCGATTCAGCTGAATCTGAATCTGAAAATTTGATGATGATTCGGAGAATCAGTGATTTGGCCATAGACACAGCTTTAAATGTTTTTTCCACATACCTTGAGGTAGCAGGCATGGCTCATGAATACTGCGATGCTGGGGTAGATGGAACATCCCACAGGAGTGTGCGGGGGGGGCCCTCCATGTGCTCAGCAGCAACCCTAGAAGTGTATCAGAAGTACTTCCGGTCCACTTCTGGGTC